GTGTTGCATCGCTAATAAATGAATTTTGATTCTTCGTTTAGTGAGACGAAAGAAGAAAGCAAAACTGACTTTAAGAACTGCTCAATGCTCTCGACTTCTATCTTTTTAATGAAATAATGACATTTACCAATTGAAATTGCGCAAAATGAATGAAATCTTTTTGTTTGCATTGAATTATAGTGAAATGATTCAGCACACTTCATTATTTGTAACATAAGGAATCGAGATAAAGAAAATCAACAGACAACGATGTAGATTTGTAAATAACGCATAAAAGACGAATCTTACAAACAATTTAAGACTGAAGAAGAACGGAAAATGTGTCGAGTCTGAAATATTTACAAATTCTTTCTTTTTGTATGCTGCAAATTGTTTACTCTCATCGTAGTTTATGCTTAGGAACCAAAAACATATTTAAATAAAATGAGATCGTGCGTTGTTTGCTGCATATGGGTGAAGCAGAAATTCTTTGTTATTGACAATAGCACCAGACAACGTTCAAGGTTTTCTTTAGAGCAACATGTGTTCAACTAGCTCAACATGTGAACAAACTAGCGTGATGGCCTTTCAACGTTTTCAACTGTCATCATACCAACAAAGATTCTTTTAATTAATTTCCCTTATTCTTATTTATCCTCAGAACGAAATGATGTTTTCATTATGAAACTAAACTGCATCTGTTCATCTTATGCACACGTTAATTAAATCTATTTTTGGCTAGTTTAATTCATTTGTGACATTTGTATATCAAAAGTTTCCTTCCGGAAAATAAGCAACCTGTAGGTGGATCAGTTGTATGTTCATTAATCATAATTAATGTGTGAAAAAAATCTCTCGTAAAATATGTAAAGAACTATAAAAACTAAATTTCAAACAATAATTTATAAATGTTTAGTGATTTTGGCTAGGCAGCTTCTTATCAAACGTTTATTGCCGAGAGACGATAAATTATTTGTCAGTAGTTTGAAATGAAGTTGTCTGGTCAATTTGTGAAAAATCAAGCAAATTGAGTACATTTTTTAGTACGACCATCAAATGGTGTCCATATTTACGACTTATTTCTACATTTGTAACTTTTTGATGCACTTTATTGAATAAAATAACATATCCGATGTTATTTGAGTGAAAATCCATGGGATAATTTATAAATTATTATTAATTCCATGTTGATTGAAGTGACGTCATTTTAAATTTCACCAAGTATCATATGATTCTTGTTCACATTTTTCGTGTTAAGAAAATGCTCATGAAAATGACAAAAATCACGTTCTTGATGTTAATTTTACTGTAATTATGGCAACTAAAGGGTAAGGAGGAAACTATTGTCGATAGAAATCATAGAAATTGTCTACGCAACATATTTAAAGAATTGAAACTGAAATTAAAGAATTAATAAAAAATATTTCAGCTTTA